TGAGAGTCTACTGAGAGCTGAGAGTTTGAGATTGAGAGTCTAAATGTTAAGCTCTGCTGAGTCAAAGTGGGGGTCCGGTTGAGTGAGCTTTTTGTGAGGATGACGGGAAAGGAGTTAAGGTGAGTGTTGATAGTGGTTGAGAGAGATGAAGTAAGGTTGAGGTTGATGACAATGAATGAAGGTTTAAGTTGAGAGAGAAGAGTATGTGTGTGAATGGTGGTTAGGGTGAATCAGTGTGGTTGAAGGTGTGAATCAATTGGTGAATGAATGAAGAGAGACTGATTGAGAAGTGAAGATGACCAATGAAGGTGATTGAATAAGTGTATGTTCAAGAAGATGAAGTGTGGTTATGTTATATAGGTGATGGATGCAGAATTTCAGTTACAGTTCAAGTGTTTGAAGCTGTTAGGTGGAAGGAATTGGTTAAGGGATAAAGGCCTAGGACAAAGCGATTAGAGTTAATTATTTTTTAATTTGAGTGTGAATTGGAGTTACTTAGAGTGAAATTTTGAAAGGGAAAATGAGAGGCAATTCTGAAGTGTGAGTCTGCTAATTTGGAGGGAAAATCTCGGGCTAAGGCAGAGTATACATGGAAGTTAGGTAGTTAAGTTGTTGATAGGTTGTTAGAGATTTTAAGGTAGTTAGTTAATAATTTTGTTAGACAGTTAGAAACTGATTTTAGAGTTAGTTGGATGGTCGGGAGTTTGTTTCAATTGATTAGGAGATTAATTGTAGAGGAAGTTTGAAAGTAGGTTAGAAAGTTTGAAGGCTGAAAATTGAAACAGTTAGGTTTGGATGTATATATAGCTTTCTTTGATTTGTTTTGAACTGGATTGAACATGATGAGGATACGTGCCAAATTATTTGTGTATTGAACTTGCATATTGAGATATGTTTGTACTGATTTTGCATTATTTTTGGCATGAATGTATACTTTGATTTTGAACTATGAAGTTGTAGTGGGCTAATGTGGCTTTGTGTTCATGACTTTGCAGGTTGGTGTTTTCTTTTGTAGCATGAACAAAGAGCTTTTACCATGGCCATGCTAGGAACACGATGAAGATGAAGTAAGTTTGAAGACATGATGCACAAGGATGAAATTTGAAGATGGAAAAGGATTTGGTTCTATGAAAGACATAGGGAGTCAAGTCAAAGTCTTTGGTTCTGGTTAGGGGTGACAATTGAATCCATTAAGACAAAATTTATCCTCTAAAAAATCTATCAAATCTATCCAGCAAATAAAAAGTAAGTTAATAGATTGGATTAAATTCATCCATTTATATCCAATTCATTCAACATATTTTGATAATCCAATAGATTATTTTTATATTATTCTTTAAATCCAATAAACCTATTTTTTTTTTAAATTACTCAAAAATTATATTTTTTTTTGAAAAAAAAAGAAAACGATGTTACTAAGAATTTTGAAAAATCGAGTTTTTCCGGAAAATAAAAAAAATTGAGTTTTTTAGAAGATCAGGTTTTTTCGGAAAATCGAAAAAATCTAGTTTTTTCTAAAAGTCGAGTTTTTTTTCTTCAGAAAATCGATTTTTTTTGGAAAATCGAAAAAAGTCGAGTTTTTTGAAAAATCAATAAATCTAATTTTTGGAAAATCATTTTTAAAAAGTCGAGTTTTTTTTTCAAAAAAATTGAGTTTTTCCCGAAATCGAAAAATAGAGTTTTTCAGGAAAATCAAAAAAATCGAGCTTCTTCGACGGCAAATCGAAAAATTGAGTTTTTTTTCCGAAAAATAAAAAAATTAAGTATTTTTGGAAAATCAAAAAATCGAGTTAGTTTACAAAATTTTAATATCGAGTTTTTTCAAAAAATCGAGTTCTTTTTTTGGAATATTGAGTTTCTCTGAAAAATCGAGTTTTTTAGGAAAATCGAAAAGTTGAGTTTTTTTTTATGGAAAATCGAGTTTTTTTTGGAATATCGATTTTTTTTCCGAAAAAATGAGTTTTTTTTAGGAAAATCGAAAAATTGAGTTTTTTCATAAAATCGAAAAATTGAGTTTTTTTCTCGAAAAATCGATGTTTTTGGAAATATAAAAATTCGAGTTTTTTCGGAAATACGAAAAATCGAGCTTTTTTGGAAAATCGAAAAGTTGAGTTTTTTCAGAAAATCAAAAAAGTCGAGTTTTTTTTTCCTGGTAATCGAAAAATCAAGTTTTTATGAAAAATTTAAAAATCGAGTTTTTTTGGAAAATAAAAAAATTGTTTTTTTTTTGGAAATTCGATTTTTTTCGGATAATCGAAAAATCAAGTTTTTTTTGAAAAATAAAAAAATCTAGTTTTTTGAAAAAATTGAAAAAAAATCCAAAATACGTAAAAATCGAGTTTTTTTTGAAAATAAAAAAATTGAATTTTTTCGAAAAATTAATAGATTGAGTTTTTTCAAAAACACAAAAAAAAATCAAAGTTTATTCAAAATACAAAATATATTTAAAAAAATTGGATATATTTAAATTTATTTTTTTAAGGATGAATATTTATCCATTAAAATATTGTTAATGGATGGATTAGATGAATTTTATTTTTAATGGAGATGAATTTGATTGGATATTTTTAACGAAGTTTTAGTGGATTGTTAATAGATTAATTGATTGTTTTGATCCATCTATTAAGAATTCATATTCATCTAATCCATCCATTTTAGCATCCCTAATTTTGATCAACTGTTACCCAAAAGTCAACTGTTGCCAAAATGTTTTTTTTTAATGTAGCTTGATCTCTTTTTGTAATGCACTCTTGAATGTAATGTACTTGTAACTCTTGTAGTAACTTGTGATGTAAGGAATTGGAATGAAATAATATTTTCCATAATTCAAGTCTTTTCTTTTGAATGAATTCTCCAAATACCCAATTGCCAAGTACTAACATGCTTCAGGGATAATTTAGATTCCCTCCATTTCATAATAAATTTTTTTGTAAGATTGTGACACATAGATTAAGAAAAGTAATGAGTGAAAAAATAAATATAACACATTTATAAAATTGTTCTTAATGATTATTGATTACTTTTACATTGTTATAAAAGTAAAGTAAAATTTAATGCCTTGAGAAAATGACAAACATAATTAATTAGAGATAAAACTGGTAAAAATCAATTAATATTACATTAGAAAAGCAAAACGACAGTTAGTTTGTGACAAATTTTTTAAGCTAAAGAGACATTTATTTTGAAACAGAAGGAATATAATATACTCCCTCCGTTCCTTTTTAATTGTCATTTTTTGACTTTTTACATATACCAAGACAACTAATGATTGCTGTTATTTTTTAAACAATAATTATTTTTTCTTATAATACCCTTAACTTTTTGATAATATATTTAACTTTTTTCTCTCTATAATAAATGATTAGGGATAGTTTTAACAAAACTACAACTAATACTACATCGAACTTTGAAATGACACTTAAAAATGAACAATTTTTTTTCTAAAACGTGACACTTAAAAAAGGAACAGAGGGATAACCCACAACTTTGGTCAATAAAAATCAACCTTTCATGGTTAACTTGTTGACCAAAAGTCAACATGTATCTCAAATACAATCATTTTTACAATTCTTCTTCAAAAAGTCCGGATGAGAAACAACCAAAAACAACTTGTTCCATAAATAAACAATCCAAACCCTAGTTAGTGATAGAGTAACCAATAACATCCTCTTTTATCATAAGTAACGATAGGGAATAAATCCTAATCATTCATATGCCAGAGCCTTAATCCATGTGAATCAACTTATCAAACCAAATAGAAACAACCCACATGACGAAGTTATAATTCAAAAGAAACCTCTAGCTAATCCGTTATTCGTTATCCATTACACCAATAATGTCACTCTATGCAAATAAATGAATGATCTTACCTAAGAATGAAGGATTTATGAAAATGTATGCAAATGAATCAAAACTTTTCTAGATAAAAATGAAAATAGAAGAAAAATTTTTAGGGTATGACAAATATCTTATATTTAACTTCGATTAGGTCATTTTAGTTTTAATTCGACTAATTATGTTTGATTCCATTCTTGAACTATTTGAAAAATACTAGTTCAATTAATTGATTAAATAAAAGAGATGATTTAATTATTTAACAACAATCTAGTTTGGTTCAAATGTTTGATTTTCTCTTATTTTGTTTGAACAATCTTAGTCATGCTTAATTTAATAGTTCAATTATCAATTAATTCATTAAGCATGTTTATTGGACCATCTATCATATAGGGATCTTTGCCACCTCCAATTCCACAACCAAAACCAATAACTATTTTTTGAATGCAAATGAAACTATTTTTGCCTTCTACTTAGCCACTTAAAACACTCCATCTTTAACAAAACTTTTTTTCCAAACTATTGTTCCCTCGCGTGACTTCGAACAGTATCATAACTCCTATTGCACATTCTCCACTCAAAACACCCATAAAGCATTGAACTTCACATTTCAATCATGAACATGATAGCCATAAGCACTCATTTCCACTCATATTGGATCTTATCTTTTTCAACTCCATCATGCCCCCAAAACATCACTCCCATAATATCTTAACCAAATCAATTCTTAATTAACACTCTAATCAACCCTAAAACATTATTAAAAAAAAGTAAATTTGATTATATCGTCATTCTCACAAGCAAATAAACAAATTTTGATTGCTTAGTCTGCACTACTACAATATTATAATTAAATTCAAATTAAAGGTAAACTAAAAGCAACAACCCAAAAGACAATCTAATCTAAAAATCTAAATTAAACTATAACCATGCTACGTAGAATTTGATTACATAATGTTGATATTTCTATCACGCATATCTGAATTCGTGATGAATTTGACGTGTTAATGTCATCGTCGTCATGATGTGATTGACGTTTCAAATCAGACGATTTAGATTACACTAACATAACATTTATACCGACGACACCATTCTAAATTCGTCAGTTAAGGTCAGACGATTTAAATTACCTGACACAAATTACACTAACACTACATTCATATGATTCATGTCGAGTTTGACAACAAAGCCTCTTCATCAAGATGATTTGCATGCAATTCTTTAAGCCACTCAAACGTTCTACGACGTGACATAACCTTTTTACCTTGCTTTTGCCTTTGCTTTTGTTTCTTCCACTCCATTACTTTTTCTTTAACAGCGTGCTTCATAGTACTTTCTGTCTTGTAATCACTTTTAACACCACTACCATTGATCACCACCGTTTCAAAAGAACAATCACAACCACTCAACAAACCACCTCGTTTACCAACTAAGTGTTTCAAAGCATGATTGCTCTTTCCACCATTATCGTTCTTCTTCTTACTCATTTTAACACTTTTAGTACTATTGCTGTTGCTACTGCTACTACTGTTGCAACTTACACTGTTTCTATGATTACTGCTACGAACCTTTAGGTCTTGCAGTCCTATTTCTGGTGTAGGGACCACACCTAAACGGAAAATTTCCCAAACCGATGATTTTCTACTTTGAGTTGTAGACTTTCTTGGACATGTTGATGATTTTAACTGTGGCTTTGGACTTGGATGTGTGTGAAACTGGTTTCTAACTTTGGTTTTTGGAGTTTTTGAAATTGAAACTATTGGATTTGTTCTTGTTGTTGTTGTTGTAGAACTAGTGGTACTTGATGTGGTTGAGTTTTGGCTTGTGCTACTATTGCTACGAAACTCATTGAAACAACCGTCGGTAAAACTCAAAGATTCTTGCTTTGACTTCAACTGCTTAGCGTGATCATTGGATGATAAGCCAGCTTCTGAGCTAAACGAGAGACGTGATGATGGGAGGATTTGTCCTTGGAAGAAAACTTCATCTGCTACACACATTTCTGGTTCGGTTGAAAAGAGACCAACCCATGAACGGAAATTGAATTCTTCTTGTGTTTCATTAATCTCAGAGTGGTTTTCTTTACTTGGGTTGTTGAGAGGTAGTGGAAGATCAGAAAGAGACAGTGTTTCTTCTTCCTCTTGGACAATGTTTGTTGCCATGTTTGAGGAATGTTTGAATGGAATAAATATATAAGATTAAGGTTTTATAAGAGGGTAAAGGAATTTGAATGTGGGGGAGAGAGTGACATAATAAATATGGACATTTGGAATATAAAAAGAGGTAAAGTGAGAAATAAGATGGGATGGGACATAGTAGTGATCACTGATCATCAGTTAGCAGTCTAGGATACTGAACAAAAATGTTTGTCCTTTGTTTTTATGGTACAAAATGGGTGGGAGTGAAGGAAAGTAAAGGATGCTTTTTGGGCCTGCTATTCCAGAGACACTAGCTCTTATGTCCCTTTTGAGGCTATTCTTATGATGAGGGAAAGATAAAGATGTTTTTTTCTTCTGGAATCTCGATGAGAATCACAAGTGGGTTTGTCACTCAAATGGGATCCTCAACTTGGAGAAGCTAATGTGGTATTTGAAATTGATTTTGAAGTATGAAACCTATATAAGTGCAAATTTTGATTTTTAATGTATTAATTCTTTGAAATTGATTTTGTCTAAAAGAAATTCAAATGTAAAGTATTTCATATTTATAAACGTTCACTTAAATTCACTTAAAGTTGACCAATAAGTTCAGATATAAAATCAATTATGGTTGCAAGAACTCCAAATTATAATTTCAAAGTTAGAATTGAAAATGGATTTAAGATTTATAAGATTGACCCTACCAAAGAACATTTAAATGGGTAGGTTTACCAACATTGTGCCTTTCCCTTGTTTTACTTGAATAGGTACATATATATAAAAGATGTCAACTAAAGTTATAAGATAAATTGGTATGTCGCAAGTATCTATTTGTGTTGCGCAAGCAAATGTGTCTTACAATTGAGGAAACTCTTTCAAAACACCATAAAAAATTCGAAGACTAATTGGAAATTATATAATTTAGCATCGATGCACAAACATCATTTATATCGGATAATCCCATAACACACCTACCATGACCTAATGCACATTTACCACCCTTGGCGTGTTTGAGGAAACATCAACTAACCGATTGTTATGTTGGTGAACAACCATTAAAAATTCACTTTATCAAAATAACACAATCGTGGTATCTGAGACCCATGGGAGAAACATGATAGGAGTGAACCACAAGTAATCATAGAAAAAACCATCATCTTAAGTTCAATCTCAATAGGGCTTCTGAAACCTCTCAGATAATATGTTGTGTTAGAAAGCTACAACCAAAACTAGACTTTGGAGACAAAATAATTTTGATCCTAACATCACATATGATACAATCAAGAGGTATTTTAGGATCCAAATTAATTCCATGAATAAGCCTTATCTTAAGTAGGTAAAATTATTAGTTCTTTTTCTGAGAGGTTACATGACTCCTAACTTTCCAACTTTTTTGGAGGAAGATGCAAAGTCGAATATGAAGCATATTAGAAGATTTGTTATGCGGTGTAGTGAAGGATGCTTAAACTAACTTCATAGGTTATTGTTGTTCCCTTTTTATCTTTTACATGAATAACAATATTTTTTAGGGTATTCTTATCTCTCACCAAACCTAATATAGACTTGGGAAGCCATGGAGATGTATTTCCATGAAAACTCAATTAGACTCGGCCTGAGGTAATGACATTTCTATAGTTCTACTAATTGAAAAGAACTGAAGTTGTGAAAGCTTAAGTAATCCTGCACTCAGTGTTTTATCTTGTAGTTTGATCAGGCAAATATAATTTAAGAAAGATTGGGTCTTAAAGTACTAAAGTGTTAGACGGTGTGGCAAGTGATTGAGAGGGGGGTGAATAGATCACCTCTTACTTTTTCAAGGATTTAAAATTATTTTATCAAAGCTTGTTGAAAGCAGCGAAAAATTAATATCTTGAATCAATTTCGTCTACTTTGAACCGACTACTAGAAAACCTGACATGTGAAAAACTTGCTGGATTTTATTAGATAAAATTGATGAATATACAACTCAGATTTCTTAACGTTTTAATGCACTTATCATTAAAGCAGTATTTCCAATTAATTAAGAAATTTGTTAGGAATTTTGTCAAACACTTGGCATATGCTTGTTTAATGATTTAATAGTTGTGGTTTGATGAAAGTATTTCAACCACTATTTTTATTATTAGACAGAAAAACTTAGCAAGTCAATTGAATTACAAAATTATGGAATATGTAAAAAGATAAAGAGAAAGAAAGAAAGAACAATATGCATGCAGTTTGGTAAGGAAGTTCCCCATTGTCGTCCTCGCGTGTGGGTACGTCTCTCTCTCAATTTCACAATTGAAACTGAGAACTTTTATAATAATTTGCTGAATGTTTGATAACAAGGTTACACTACACAGACAAATAGAAATCCCTATGATCTTCTTCTTCTTGTAAGAACCACCACTTGATATGAGTTGTATCAAGATTCCCTGCAAGGTCCACAGTCGATCCTCTGCTTCCACGACTTGTTTGCAAAAATCTTTCTGATTTCCAAACCCCTCGCTATGGCTGAATCCGACTTGTGCGACCGTGACTAACAAACCCTCAAGAACACATCCGTTCTTGAAGGACAAACTCCTTGGTTTATTTCTTGAAGCCTCCTTTACAATCTTCAACTCAGCTGAGATTCTTTCAATACACAGTTGAACGTTATCTCTGACCTCTTGATCCACTTCAACAAGGATGTTTGATTTTCGTTGTTGTTGTTGAATGAAGATGATTGAGAAGATGATGAAGATGAAGTTTCTTTAGGCTTCTGGCTGCTCACAAATGTTTGCACACAATTCTGATATGTTGCAATGGATTTCTGTTGAGAAAAATACTTGCTTATATATGTAACAGAAAACGGTTAGGCAAAAGAAAGTATTATGAGTCGATGCATGTTGGTCATGAGTCGACTCATGTTAGTTATGAGTTACAGGATGAGTCGACACATGCTGTTTTGAGTCGATGCATGATCATATCATAACATTTTACAGAACCAACAATTTTATATCCGCCGATACATAACACATATGTGTCAATGCATACTGATTGTAATTTTAATTTTTGAACATAAAACATGGTATGAGTCGACGCATGATATTATGTATCGATGCATAAAAATTCAAAAATGTTTTCCAGAAGCATCTGAATGTCACGTGTCGATGCATGAGGTTTTGTGTCGATGCATACAAGTTTAAGTTTGCATTACAGAGGCATTAAAGTGTTATGTGTCGATGCATAAGATTTTGTATCGATGCATGCAAGTTTAATTTTGCATTACAGGGGCATCAAAGTGTTATGTGTCGATGCATAAGATTTTGTATCGATGCATAATAGTTTGAGATAGTATTCCAGCGACTTCAGTATGTTATGGATCGATGCAAAACCTGTTGTGTCGACTCATAATGATGCATTATGAGTAAAACACATTTTAAACTTATTTTAAACATGTAATATTATATTTTTGTAATGCACACATGTATTTATTATTTCACATATATTTGGAATCATTCAAAATCAATTATGAAGGAGTTTCTCACAAACTCCCCCTTTTTGATGATGGCAAATATCTGATGATGTATGGTGATATAGTGTAGATGAATAAGCTTGCTCCCCCTGAGTTTGTGCATTATCTTTCTAACACTAACATAATCTTCACTAACACAATCTTCTTCTCCCCCTTTGACCACATCAAAAAGAGAATAAGCAATATTTTCAGCAATCTCAACACATAAGAAAATTGATATGCAATTTCAGCAAATATTGTCTTGGCATTCACACAGAATGTCTTGGCATAATGTTATCAATAACTGAGTAAATAATTGAGTAAACAGGAAGTAATCAAGTTAAAAGTAATTAATGCAGCAAAATAGATTGTTTGGAGGAGACATTAATACAAATATTAGAAAAAGAGGCATAAATTAATGGTATGAATGAGAAAATTCTTACTTTCTATTTTTATAATTTTTTGATATGAGTCGACTCATAACTGTATGTATCGACTCATAACACAAATTTTGACAGAAATGCAGTTTTTCACAAGTTCTTGTTAACAGATGGATATGGTACCCAATTCCAATTTAAATGATTATGAAAAATGAATCATCTGAAGAGTATTATGCATGCATAATGATGTAATGCAGTTTGCATATGTCAAGTTCAAACAATTTATGTAAAAGAGATATACATATAGACATTATCAATGGAACATTAAGGTCAACTTATAAGTAGTTGAGAAAGTAGATAGGAAGAGTATTACCTCGTTTGATGATATGTTAAGACACATGTACTAAAGCTGAAAAACACATCTCAACAGTATGGCGAGACATAGATATATTTCAACTACATATATGCTTAAGACATCATGTAAGAGAGATCTAAAATCCCTAGCTCACGACGAATGTTGAAGAAGAGTTCCGTTACTAGTGGTTTTATAAAGATGTCAGCAAGTTGATTTTTAGTATCAACATGCTCAAACGTAACATCTTCCTTTTCAACATGATCGCGAAGAAAGTGATACCTAATCTCTATGTGTTTAGTGTGTGAGTGTAAGACTGGATTCTTAGTGAGATTTATAGCACTTGTGTTGTCACATTTTATTGGAATATGTTTTAATTGAATATCATAATGTTGTAATTGTTGCTTCATCCATAAGATCTGATCACAACAACTACCGGCTGCAACGTATTCAGCCTCAGCAGTTGACAAAGCAACAAAAACTTACTTTTTGCTATGCCAACTTACTAGAGAGTTTGAAAACAAGTGACGTGTTCCACTAGTGCTTTTCCTATCTGATTTGCAGCTAGCAAAATCAGAATTGGAGTAACCTACTAAACTGCAATCTCTTCCCTTGGAATACCATAGCCCATACTTAGATGTATTATTGAGATACCTAAGTATACGCTTGATAGCTTTCAAGTGGGATTCCTTAGGATCCGATTGATATCGTGCACACATGCAAACACTAAACATGATGTCAGGCCTAGATGCTGTAAGATACAAGAGGGATCTGATCATACCTCTATATTTTTTGACATCAACACTCTTACCATGTT